ATAGAGATATAGATATATATATATATATATATAGATATATATATAGATATATATATATATAGAGAGAGAGAGATGGCCCCCAGTGTGTTGTGTGGTCCATCTCTGGCCCCCAGTGTGTTGTGTGGCCCATCTCTGGCCCCCAGTGTGTTGTGTGGTCCATCTCTGGCCCCCAGTGTGTTGTGTGGCCCATCTCTGGCCCCCAGTGTGTTGTGTGGCCCATCTCTGGCCCCCAGTGTGTTGTGTGGTCCATCTCTGGCCCCCAGTGTGTTGTGTGGCCCATCTCTGGCCCCCAGTGTGTTGTGTGGCCCATCTCTGGCCCCCAGTGTGTTGTGTGGTCCATCTCTGGCCCCCAGTGTGTTGTGTGGTCCATCTCTGGCCCCCCAGTGTGTTGTGTGGTCCATCTCTGGCCCCCAGTGTGTTGTGTGGTCCATCTCTGGCCCCCAGTGTGTCGTGTGGTCCATCTCTGGCCCCCAGTGTGTTGTGTGGTCCATCTCTGGCCCCCAGTGTGTTGTGTGGCCCATCTCTGGCCCCCAGTGTGTTGTGTGGCCCATCTCTGGCCCCCAGCGTGTTGTGTGGCCCATCTCTGGTCTCGTGTTATGTGACAATGGGATAATACACAATAGTGTATAGAGTTATTGTGTGGAACCTTTGTTCTGGTATGTGAATCGTGTGTTTGAGATCATATAGTATAAAACATTACATGTTTATGGCATACATCTGTTTGTCTAATATTTTAAATACAATGTTTCTCTATTTTTACAGAGCGAACAGTTATGTGGTGAGGTGTGTAGTGTGGCCCACCTTGCCACACCCACCACACGCCCACCCTGCCACACCCACCACACGCCTACCCTGCCACACCCACCACACGCCTACCCTGCCACACCCACCACACGCCTACCCTGCCACACCCACCACACGCCCACCCTGCCACACCCACCACACGCCCACCCTGCCACACCCACCACACGCCCACCCTGCCACACCCACCACACGCCCACCCTGCCACACACCGACCCTACCACACCCACTACCCCGCCTTCCCTTAATACCGTTATCATCCGGCACCTGTTCACTTTCTTCACCATATTACCCATCGTGTTACACCCTACCATATCGTGCCCACGACGCGTGACTATAGCGCCTCCTCACATGGTGTCGGGGTGGCATTACATCCCCCATACAGAGACCGTGTGGGCTGCAGTGTGAGGAGTGATGTGGACCTGGCCGCGACACTAGCGTATGGACACTACACTACACTGGTCGTGTGTAGTGCCCACTTCTTCATTCTCAGCCACAGTGTGATGGACACGGCATGAGAGCACCCCGTCTTCCTCGGGGGTCCCAGCGTCAAGAAAACGGTCAATGTAAGTGTCCTCTCCTAACCTACCACAGGACCCAAAACAGAAAACGGGAGTGTACGTCACTTTCGCAACCCGCTTCCATTTTCTAGTACGACAATTTTTGGCCTTGTGTAACGCATACGAGCGAAATGTGACGTTCTTGGTAAAAAAAAAAAAAAAAAAAAAAAAAAAAGGACAGGTTGGCGAGGGAACGGTGCCCCGCCACAAGCTTGAACCATTACCGCCCTTCCCAACACCTCATGTAGAGGAGCGCAGAGAAGCACAAGAGATAGTAAGGAGACATCGAGGAGGACCTTGGTAGTGTTGGAGGCTCGGTCTTAGAGGAGCGGCCTTGATGACTCGCCAACCTCACGCTGTCCAACACTGGCTGCGTCTCCTCCAGTGACTGTTGCTTGCATCACTGCTATTAAACCAGCCTACCCTCGGTAAGGGTGCACCGTGGCCCCCTCCCTGCTGCTGGCACCTCAGGGTCCACCTGTTGGCACTCCGTGGCCCCCTCCCTGCTGAAATCTGCTGCCTATCCCAACATTCACCTTGTGTGGGCCCTCGTCATACGGCAGGGGGCGAGGCCCCCCTATATAAGGCAGGGGTGGCAGAAGAGATGTCGTCTAGTCGTCCCCGGCGGCATAGTGTGGTCACACTGAGACTAACCGTTACCTCAGACAACCCAAGCAGTGAGAGTAGCCACTCCACACAGCCCACGCCCGCCCTCTCACCAAGCCCCACCCTGCCCCCACGCCCACGCTCACACTCCCGCCAGAGGTATGCCTCCCAGGGGCGCCAGGCACCCTCCTCCCCACTTCCCCGCACAACCCCACCTCTCTGCCGCACGCCCACCACGCCGCTCAGTCGCACGCCCACCTCCCCATTGGGACGCACACCCTCCTCTCCATTCTGCCGTGAGCCCACCTCACCCATGGGTCGCTCCACGCCCTCTCCTGTGTCACCTCGTAGCGTGGGCGGCAGACACTTCCGGTACGACATGTGGGCGGAGCAGCGGGGGTTAAGGAGGAGGTCATCACTGCTGACAGTGCCGTCCACACACGACCCTCACTCTGACCTCCACCTCCGTCTCCCCAGACAGAGGTCCTCTTCAATTGCTGGTCCAATACGCCCTCCAGACCTCGCCAGGTGAGTGTGTGCAATAACAGGCTGCATGGCGTGTCAATCACGCAGCCAACCTAAACATCCTGTGCCATGTCCGATAATTGTCTTGATACATTCATCATTATTTTAAATCTGAGGATACAGTATAGTGTTTATGTAGTTACCTCACATCTTCCCTCCCTGTGCCTGCAGCTGTATCCTGAGTGATGACTTTTCTCAGTGTCTCCAGGTTGGATATATCATTGTGGAGTCCGTCCTCCTAAGGTTTCCCAGCGTCGAGAAACTGTCGTTCTAAAGTGTCTTTATCCTAACCTACCAGAGGACCCTTAAACAGAAAATGGGACAGTATGTCAATTTTGCGAGCCGCTACCCTTTTCTAGTACGACGAGGTTTGGCCTTAGGTAGAGTGTATGTCAAAAAGCACTGCACTGTTAGGAGGACGGGTTGGTGGTCCTCGCACAGCTTCAGAGTCCGTGCTGAGGCCTTCACTTGAGTCAACACTTTCCCTCCTGTGTCACCCAAGAACCACAGGAACTCTTAACGGCTCCCCGAGGGCTGCCAGAACCACTAGCTGTCCGCGGAGGGTGCATGGTACTCGCCCCTTTCCAGCTTCCACCTGTACGTGTCCGCTTGTCCTGCTTTCTCCCAGTCTCAAGAGGCTGTCCTTGTCCATCACATCTATTTTCTGATCAGGGGGAGAAAGATACTGGCAGTATGGGGCTTTAAATTTATTGAAGATTAAATTCTGCAGAACATGTAAATATATAAAGTTTCAAATATATAAAGTAAGTAAATATATAAAGTTTATATTAAACACGGTTTATATTATAGACATATAAACAAAGTTTATATTATATTAAACTTAATATTGAACATGTAAATATATAAAGTTTCAAATATATAAAGTAAGTAAATATATAAAGTTTATATTAAAATATATAAAGTAAATATATAAAGTAAGAATTAACAGTAACAATTCCAAGTCCGAGGACTAGATTTAACTTAAAAGGTACACCCGTAGTAAGTATGAGACCTTAGCCTATAGTGACATGGAAACTAATTCTGCAGAAACCTAAAGGTTAACTGGTACTAGAATTAAGGCCGAGTGCAAATGTGTAGTAATTATATAACACTAGGATATAACAGGCAGGACACAAAGAATAACTAATAAGTGAGAGACCACATAACACGTAATGTACCCGGCCAAGAGGCCGTAAAAGACCTAATGAATAAGGAGAAGGGGTGTGACTACAAGTAGGGCTTACTAGCACCTAGACTGGGCAAAGTATTAGCTGCGGACAGCGGGACACTTGGGGACCGGCGCTGCACCCCCCTTCCCACATGCAGTGGGGAGAAAAGGGGACAACTGTGCAAAGCATGACGGGGGTACAAAGACAGCCGCTTGCAAAGGGGAGGTGGGAGGGCTTTGCGAGGGCAGCGGCGGGGGCAGGCGGAGTGAGGGCAGAGCCCCTCTGTGCCCCCGTATTTATACGGCCCCAGACTGCCCGCGCAACGCCGCGGGACGCGCTGCGCAAATGTTCCTTTCTCCCCCATCAGAAACATCCCCGCTTTGCGAAGCAGTGGCCATTCCCCTCTGTATTATGTAAGTTGTGATCATATCCTCTCTGTTCCTTCTCTCCTCAAGGGTTGTGAGATCTAGTTCTATTAACCTGTGTTCATAGCTTAACCACCTTATCTCTGGCATCAACTTTGTTGCTAATCTTTGTACCTTAAAATTTTGGCCTTTATGCTTCACAAGGTGCAGATTTCATGCCAGTGCTGCGCATTCTAGTATTAGTCTAAGAAATGTGTAGATTACTTTGAAGGAGTCCCGAGTCAGTTTCTAAACGGTGTTGTTATATTTGGCAGCGTCCCACATGCAGCTGATGGTATCTTGTTTAAGACACTTTTAGACAACGGTTAACAGTACCTATATCACCGTCTTCAGCAGCCATGTTGAGATTAGGTCTGGCCCCATTCATTTTACCACATCTAGTTCCCGCAGGATTTTTGTCACCTCTTCCACAGTGGAGAGGTGAAATGCCATCCAGTATTTCCTCCAGCCCTTCATCTTGCAGCCTTGTCTCCACACTGGTTCTAATGTAAAGGCCTCCTAAAAACCTTTCTTTGAGTTCCTCACGTACCTGCTTATCATTATGTGAGAGCTCCCTCTTGTTTCCTCAATTCCTCCGAATTCGGGTGTATTCCTTCCTTGTTCTCTTTAGTGCCTCACTATTGTCTCTTCCCATTTCTCTGTACTTTTTCCAGGATTTTGTTTTTCTTTAACGTTCCTGCGTCTCCTATTTAACCAGGGATTAACTTTATTTTTGTCATCCACCTCCTCTTTGAGTGGTATGAACTGTTCTGCTGCTTCGGCACATTCCCAGCAGTGAATTCCATCATCTCATTTGTTCTTCTCCCTTCCATTTATTTTTCCATTGGATTTCCTGCATGAAGCCCCTCATCCTGTTGTAGTCCCCACGTCTGTAATTCTTCTTCTTCAGTGGGTTTCTTTGTGTAACCAATTCCTTCAGCGCCAGAATGTATGATGTGTGAAGATGGGGGAGTGTGATATGGGTGGTGACGGGAGTGCGGGTGTGGAATCTCTCACTACAGGTACCTGAACCCCACACCTGCCTGGTTACCTGGTTGATACCTGGTTGATGGGGTTCTGGGAGTTCTTCTACTCCCCAAGCCCGGCCCGAGGCCAGGCTCGACTTGTGAGAGTTTGGTCCACCAGGCTGTTGCTTGGAGCGGCCCGCAGGCCCACATACCCACCACAGCCCGGTTGGTCCGGCACTCCTTGGAGGAATAAATCTAGTTTCCTCTTGAAAATGTCCACGGTTGTTCCGGCAATATTTCTTATGCTTGCTGGGAGGACGTTGAACAACCGCGGACCTCTGATGTTTATACAGTGTTCTCTGATTGTGCCTATGGCACCTCTGCTCTTCATTGGTTCTATTCTACATTTTCTTCCATGTCGTTCACTCCAGTACGTTGTTATTTTACTGTGTAGATTTGGTACTTGGCCCTCCAGTATCTTCCAGGTGTATATTATTTGATATCTCTCTCGTCTTCTTTCTAGTGAGTACATTTGGAGGGCTTTGAGACGATCCCAATAATTTAGGTGCTTTATTGCGTCTATGCGTGCCGTATGCCCCTACAGGTACCTGAGCGAGGCCAGTCAGCGCTACCAAGGGGGAGAAGATGGCGGTAGTGGAGAAGTCAGCATCGCGAGCAGCTTTGACGAGTCTGAACAGGAGCCGGCGTCGACCAGCCCCTTACTCGACCACTGCAGCGACCTTCCCAGCCGGCCCTCCACACCGGCCATGGCCGACAAGACCATGACAGCCACCAGGCCGGGCCATGTTTCCCCCGGCAGTTTATCAACCTGCGGGACTCATGATTCCTTCGTCGCCGACCTTCCCAGGAGGAGGAGGAACAGCAGCGCTGACTCCACCGTGAGTACTGCCTTAGCAGAGAGAGAGAGACGGACGGACAGTGAGAGTGATTGGTGGGGAACGACCCTGGGTGGTGGGGTATTACTAGTGTTGGATGGAGACACAGGAGAGACAACTGAGGTATAATCATAAGGGATACAGGAAGGAGTATAAACATCTGACCAATACGGTGGTGGTGTACCTCTCAACTCATAACAATGAACTCAAGTTATTTACATAAACCATTACAAAATGAAATAGGTAACATGGCTCACAGTAGAGCCCCTGAGCGCAGTAAAGTAAAAATATTTCCCAGTTATAATTTTGGACTGTTATGAAACCTAAGAAATTGGCTGGGCATGAAGGGCATGCTTCACAACAGAAGCATGTAGGAGTGACGTAGGTGGGTGGGCATGAAGGGCATGCTTCACAACAGAAGCATGTAGGAGTGACGTAGGTGGGTGGGCATGAAGAAGGGCATGCTTCACAACAGAAACCATTGCTGCAGGTGGCGGGAAGGCTAAGTCATAACCATGTATCACCCTCCTGGTCCTCCTCCAGACTGGCGTGTGTCGCCTCCGTCAGTTCAGCATCACCTCCCGCGGGGGCGTGGTCAACAGGGGCGACTCGTTCCGTCCCAGACGCTCCGTCTCCAACACCTCCGTCACCTCCACCGTCTCCTCCTGCAGCAAGGACAGGAGGCCCAGGTAAGCCTTTCACCCTAAACCTCACATACAATCAAACAGTAGATTTTGATTTAAATTTAAGAAAATTATTTTAATTATTGAGTGTTGAGTAATGTATATATGACTTGCAGTGACACCCTGAACCTGTATGACCTGCAGTGACTAATGTAGTTATTCGTCACACACCAACCGCGGAGACCAATTCACCTCTTAAAATCCTCCTGGAGGATTCATCACGTAAAACATTCATGGAGATCAACCCATTTCATAAAATCACGCTGGAGACTAATTCATTACACAACACTCCTGGAGACTAATTCATCTCATAACATTTTTACTCTTTGAAAATAATTCATCACACAAAACCCTTGTGGAGACTAATTCATCAAAATCTTACCATGAGATAACTTCAACACACGAAACATCCCTGGCGACAAATTCATCACACAAAACATCCTTGATCCCACTGGAGACAATCATCACAGAACACGACCATGGAGAACAATTCATCTCATAAAATCCCCTGGAAAGTAATTTAACTTTCAGAACACCAGTGGAGGCGATTACCTCCTGCCTATCCAGTAACACATTACCGTCCGCCCACACACTACTTGTCCGCCCACAGCGTGGGTTCAGGGCCTTCGACGCCAGGGCGCAGCAAGGCAGCCACGCCCACACCCGCCCCACAGCACCGGGTGGTGATGCTTGGGTCTGCTGGTGTAGGCAAGTCTGCCCTCATCACTCAGTTCATGTCTTCTGAGTACATGTGCGCCTACGACGACTCCCCAGGTATGTGTGTCACGCCCACGACGACTCCCCAGGTATGTGTGTCACGCCCACGACGACTCTCCAGGTATGTCACGCCCACGACGACTCCCCAGGTATGTGTATGAGATGTACAGGTGGGCGCCTGGTGCGGAGAGCTGCAGCAACACGCGCACACAACAATGGCGGGGCGCCTCCTTCCTGACCAGCTCTAGACTCCTCCAGGAGCTCTTCGTCATTTTGACTTAAGGAACTTGACTTTGGGTTTGTTTGTGTTGCAGTTAAATTCAATCCTGGAGAATATTTGTTTTATATTGGGTTTCCAGGCTGGTGTTTTAAAGATACGTGTATAAATGTATGCGTAAAGATACGCGATCCGTATATAAATAAATATTCAGTGGACGTTGCAAACCTCCCATTTTCTCTTAAGAAGCCATTGAAACCCATTTTCTTGTAATGAAGAAAGTGGTTAGTAATAGTATGTTCCTAACACAATCGTTTTTGATTGGCATGTTATTTGTTAGTAATTTAGCTTAAAGGTGGAGACCGGGAGCTGGAGCTCGCTCCCGGCACATACAAGGAGGAAAGCAAGCAAAAAAGCAAGCCACATTGCAGAGGTGAATTCATGAAATAGTTGGATATCCAATCCATTAATTTGAACTGGAGCGTCTGGTTCTATTTGAAGGTGGACGGAAAACAATTATTGGTGAGAGGTGCGTTGTTGGCGGGGTGTTAGTGCTTCCTTAGTCGGTCCTAGGGACGGTGGCACGGACTGTAGGGACCTTCAGTCCCTGGCCCCCGTCTTTCAGTTGCTGATGGGGATGTAGCAGCTCCCACCCCACTTGGTCTTATCGTACCACATCTTGAAACTGTTTGGAGTGTCACTCAACTGCTTTGTGTGTTAGGTCAGGTCACCTGCTGACTCATGACGGCATGTAAGGCCTCGTGACCCATGCTAGGCGGCTCCTCAACCCGTTCTCGCACTTGCTTAGTCAATATTGGCTTACTTAATAAGTGCATATATGACATACTAATTGATTGTTGGCTCCTATATGAATCCCTTCCCTCTCACCCATATCTAACTCTTCCCATCTATTCTTGAAATTGTGTAAAGTGTGTATCTCAACAGGAATAGCTGGCAGCCCATTCCACTCAACCACAACTCTTTCTTTTTCAGACAAGAGCTTCCCTCTAATACTCCTAGATGAAAATTTCTCCAGCTTGTACTCATTGTTGTGGGTTGTGACCTGTTCTCACACTTTCATAACCTTCTTCATATTCTTGATTTTGCTGTGCACAAGCTGCTCCACAACCTGAGCGACCTGGTCGTGCGTCTCTGTGCAACGACACACTTCACTCTGCCTTCACAGACACATCCCCAGACCAGGTAGGAGCCTTGTCTGTTTACTCCAGCGTTGACGCTCACTGTGTGGCAGTGACGAGAGGTGCTCAGTGTAGTGTAAGTGGCGCCAAGATACAGCTGAAGGACGATACTTGTGTTTCTGTTGCTTCTTATTATATATCGCAACACCCTGTGACGTGTCTATGACAATCGGGTCGTTCGCTCGTTGTTGCCAAGTCTTTCACAATATGACCTACCCAGGACTGCATGCCTCTCAAACACGTGACGAAACTGTGGCCACTCGCCATATCCATATTATTCTCTAAGGAATGTAATGTTTCCGGATCATATCTATAATTTACCTCGGAATCATATCTACTGATGCTTTAGGAATCATCGGTATCTACATTAGCAGCCTTCATGACCATTTGGTCGAATACACTATTGAGCTCAATGCATGTACCATTGTACATGTAATATCAAGAATCTAGAAGCTTCCTTATAATCAAAAACATTATTGGAACCAAGTAATAGTTTCCACAGACATATTTTCAAAATCCTTAATAAAGGACAATTGTACTATCGGTAATCTTTAAATCTACTAGGTGTTTTTCTTGTGATATAACTTTATCACAATAATCAGTCTAAACAATGAAAATAATCATTTTATAATCATTGCCAGCACCTTCACTATAGGGTAGGGGCGCCACCAGCAGACACCATTGGGGCAGTAACGTCCAGTACCTGATCACGCCTTGTTGACATCGGGGGCGGCTCACATGTGCAGTGTTTGACGACAGTTTTAGTAGACACTACCGCACAAACTGTTTACATAATCACCAGTAATCACTCCCTAGATATTGGGGGAGTCCCTGATCTATAATCTAAGCTAGAATTCGTCCATAAGAACTCATATTAAGAGTAGTGAGAGTGAACTCATGTACCCAGAGACTTGCCACGCTTGCACCATCATTTAATTCTTAACATTGCTACAAGTATCCATCCTACAGCAATGGCTGCTAGGAACTTAACATCAAACTGCCTTATTTTCATTAAAATACAGAGTCTGGTTTAAGCAAGAGAGACATCACACACAGAAATCACAATAGCGTGATGCATCAAATGAACAAATCCACAAGGGCCGTGACGAGGATTCGAACCTACGTCTGGGATGCTTCCGGACGTAGGTTCGAATCCTCGTCACGGCCCTTGTGGATTTGTTTCAAGAGATACACCCTCTGGCTACTGTGAGATAGGCTCCGGTTCTCAATTCAGTACAAGTTATTATTTTAAAGCATAGATTGTCCAGTTAGCATGCTTTATGAGATTAATACATCCATATATAATTATGTTACCTTTACATAAATAAGTTACAGTAATCATTTAGTTGCATATCTTTGGTCCTAAGTAATTCTCATTCATTAATCTCGGTATTTCCCTCACACAAACTACCACGTTGTTACAACTTTTGAATAAGTTTTTAACACCTAACAAGTTATAACAACCAATATAGTACGTTGTAACAATGTTCTAGTGTGGTGTTTTGGGGTGTGTAGAACACTATCGAGTCTTGCTACAGTGTGTAGAACACTATCGAGTCTTGCTACAGTGTGTAGAACACTATCGAGTCTTGCTACAGTGTGTAGAACACTATCGAGTCTTGCTACAGTGTGTAGAACACTATCGAGTCTTGCTACAGTGTGTAGAACAAAATATTAACTATTGATATCAACAGTCTCGATTACGTTTATAAAGTAATATATTGTTGAGAGAGGGAGAGAGAGATTGGACTGGTGATGAATGTTACATCCTTGTGGGTGATGTGAGTCCCGGCCTACACCTCTGCCACTCTTGACCAGGATCATTATTAATGCTGCCTTTATGTCCACTTGGGAGACCACTAAGAATGGGGAGTAGGGGAGCGGTGTGCAGGGTGGGGAGGGGGAGGCGTGTGTCGAGGTCCCCCAAGGTGGGTCTAGCTGACCTTGCACCACATCCACCCCATTAACTGTTGCCAACGTTACGGCTTCCTCTTTACTGGCAACTGAACAAAACCATTACTTGTAAGGGAACGACGTTCCACCCAATTCTGCCCCCTTCCCCCCCCCCCGGAATCCGTGATTGTGAGTCGAGAACGAAGCCAACTGTACTAGGAGAACCTATCTCCCTTACTCTCACTCTGTTGTTGTTCTCCTCTCTCTCTCTCCCCCCCCCTACTCTTTCCCTTCCCCCCCCCCTCTCTCTCTCCCACTCCTTCCCCCACCCACTCTCTCTCCCTCCTCCCCCCCCCCGTACAGTTACCATGGCGACAGCACCAGCTGTTGGCTCCATCACAGCGCTTCAACATAATAACTTTACCTACACCTCACATTATCTCTTACACTCATTGCTTTTGTATTTCACATTTTATGTAGCGTCCCTTTGACACCGTGATGACTGTCCTCAGACGGAGCCGTATTGGATATCCATTAAATATTGGAGTAAAAATATTGGCCGACTGGGCAGGAGGCCTTAAGAGGCTCTCATTTGACTCCTGGACATTTTCCCGGACGCTCTGGTAATGGAAGCTGCATCATATTGGTTTTATCGTGAGTTTATTTAGCAATTGTATTGTGTGTAGAGAGGAGGGTAATGGCAGCAGCGGGCATCTTTAATGTGTTTATAGTGAGGCAGTATTGACACACGCATTACGGAGGTGTGTACAGTGGCCTCTCCCATCTCCCTACACACCTCTACACATATGCTCAAATGTCATCTTTATTACCATGTTCCCTCTCCAACCACTTGGGCTCGACGGTCTCACTTCATGCAGGTTCGGCGTTCAATCCCCGACCGTCAAAGAGGTTGGGCACCTTTCCTCCCTCCCGCCCACCGTCCTATCCCAAATCTTATCCTGACCACTTCCATGTGCTATATAGGCGTAATGGCTTTGCGCTTTCCTCTGATGTTCTCTCGCTTTCCCTCTCCATGTTCCGTAAATATGTAAATATGTAAAGCAAGTCGAGAAGTCTGGCTCCGTCTCTGATGTGTGGTGGAGGCTCGCTCTCTCTCTCTCTCTCTCTCTCTCTCTCTCTCTCTCTCTCTCTCTCTCTCTCTCGCTCTTTTGCTTTTGCTCTTGCTCTTGCTCTTCTCTTGCTCTTCTCTCTCTTGCTCTTCTCTCTCTTGCTCTTCTCTCTCTTGCTCTTCTCTCTCTTGCTCTTCTCTCTCTTGCTCTTCTCTCTCTTGCTCTTCTCTCTCTTGCTCTTCTCTCTCTTGCTCTTCTCTCTCTTGCTCTTCTCTCTCTTGCTCTTCTCTCTTGCTCTTCTCTCTTGCTCTTCTCTCTTGCTCTTCTCTCTTTCTCTTCTCTCTTCTCTTCTCTCTTCTTCTCTCTCTCTCTCTCTCTCTTCTCTCTCTCTCTTCTCTCTTCTCTCTCTCTCTCTCTTCTCTCTTTCTCTTCTCTCTTTCTCTTCTCTCTTTCTCTTCTCTCTTTCTCTTCTCTCTTTCTCTTCTCTCTTTCTCTTCTCTCTTTCTCTTCTCTCTTTCTCTTCTCTTTCTCTTCTCTCTCTTGCCCTTCTCTCTCTCACTCGCTCTTTTTCTCTCGTTTGCTCTTCTCTATTTCTCTCTCCCCCCCTCTCCCCCCCCCCCCCCCCCCGAGGGAATGCCATTTTGCTGATATTTTTCTTCCTAATTACTGTTGAGTGGCTTTGAGAGTCTGGTGTCTCCAGTCTGCTAATTTACATAAATTAACACACTCGTTTACAAACATTTTTGAGTAGTTCTAATTGTTTTAATCATTTACTGAGAGACCCTTAAAATATACGTACGTGATCAGCGTGTGCTTAATGTTGTTTAGCTCTATGTAAACAAAACCAATATTTATTGTAAGACCTGCATGGTCTTCACGCAGAATGGTTGAAGACCTGGTCTTCACGCAGAATGGTTGAAGACCTGGTCTTCACGCAGAATGGTTGAAGACCTGGTCTTCACGCAGAATGAGATGGACACTGTATTTTTGTCTTTGTAAACAGTGACAATGAAGACCACAGAGCTGTACCAAGGAGGATAATGTAAGATGACCAAACCACACACTGGAAAATAAAGGCCCTGAATATATAAGGTTCCCTCACTACTGCAGTAGAACTGTCTGACTGTGTAGAGAAGTTTATGTCTGTAGGTAATGGCTGGTGTGGATGCACTACCACCATAATTAGTCTGAATAGATGACTGGTGTTGGGAGGTCGGCGTTCTATATCCCCAACATCGTAAAAGTTCATCTTCAGCCTTTATGATGCCCAAATCTCTGATGACTAATTTAGGAGGCTTTGAGGTTGTCCCTTTGTGGTCCGTTCCTAAAAACTTCAATTCATCTGAAAAGGCTCTGGTTTATCCAGTCCTTAGTGGGGTGTAATGGGGTTTCCTTTCTGTTCTCACTGAAAGAATTCTAACACTTGGGCTGTTCTCCTGAGTAACTTATCCATGGATGAGCAAGGTGTAGGAGCTATGACTTTCTTGGACTCTTATGGGCTGCCATAGCTACAGCACCTTCACAGACGACTTCTACTTTCTGTAGAGACCATTTGGTCTCGTCAGTAAGCCATTTTGGGCCAGCTGTCCAGGTGTTGCCTTCTAAATGTTTGAACACTTCACCTTTTAAAACATTGACAGAAGATCTGCAGGGTTCTCTTTAGTGGGAATATGTTGATAACCCTTTCTTCAATGCGTTAATTTTTTGCGACTTTGTTCTTTATGCAAGATGTTGAACATTTGATTCCCTGCCCACTGTAGTGCGGTTTTGTCTGCCCATACAATAGTTCAGGTGATGTTAAGCTTCTATAAAGTTGCATGTAGGTAGTGGACGAGTCTGGTGCCCTCAGAGATGGCAGTCAACTCTGCGGTTATTTTTTAGCGCCGCTGGCACCGTGTTGGCAATGGTGCTCCCCGACCTCTACTACCACCACGTTACCTTACAACCTTGACAACCTGACAACCTTGTGTCTTTACAGCCACATTAATGGGGAGACTTGGGGCGTGACTGGTGACAACAGCAGCCACATTCGTGATAGCATTAACCTGTGCATTATGAGGAAAGCGGTCGGTTAAGACAACAAACTTCATACCTTCGTTCACTATACCCGGGACATGGTGTATGGGTATGGTGGGTCGTGGTGTACGGGTATGGTGGGTCGTGGTGTACGGGTATGGTGGGTCGTGGTGTACGGGTATGGTGGGTCGTGGTGTACGGGTATGGTGGGTCGTGGTGTACGGGTATGGTGGGTCGTGGTGTACGGGTATGGTGGGTCGTGGTGTACGGGTATGGTGGGTCGTGGTGTACGGGTATGGTGGGTCGTGGTGTACGGGTATGGTGGGTCGTGGTGTACGGGTATGGTGGGTCGTGGTGTACGGGTATGGTGGGTCGTGGTGTACGGGTATGGTGGGTCGTGGTGTACGGGTATGGTGGGTCGTGGTGTACGGGTATGGTGGGTCATGGAGAATTTATCATTTATAACCGGGATTAGTCGGTTATACAGATCACTTGTAATAAACTTTTCCACGTGAGTAAGTTGACCGGAATCGATGTGCTTCTCAGCCTCTTATTTCCTTGGCTTTAAGCTCGTCCACAGTGGTGCTGAGACCTGTTCCGAGCATACATGATAGTAGCTTATCTAACACTACCGCTGGATCCTCCTCCTTGCTCATCATATTGCGTGAAATGTGTTAAAGCTGTAGATTATCCACCAACTTCTGTAAGATAAATGTTGTCTGTGAGTGTTGGTCAAGATGGGCTCTCAGGTGTTGGCTGGTGGACGTCACAGTGTGTGGGTGTGGCTAATGCAGTCAGTGCAGCCCAAACTGGTGTTTACATTGTCAGTCTTTGCAGTTACTTTACAAAAAACTGCCAGTAGTTGACGGACTATTAATCGTATCATTCTGATTGCAGAGAGCTGTGTGCTGCCTTCCTTTGTGGCATTTACTACACATTCTCAATCCTGCCTTGCAATCCTTGCAATCTGCTGATGTAGCCACTTTCCGCAACGCTGTAAATATGCAAGACGAGTTTGCCTTGCTGTGAAATCAGGGAAATCCTGGGAAAAGGGAACGCTTATTCTCATACAACATATATTTGTTCCTGCCAGAGCCATTGGTAAGGGTTGAGGAATGAGAGTTGTGTGTCCCTTGCACTCTCGGGGTCTCGGGCACCACATACCACCCTACCTAATGTGGCTTCCACATCTCATTATGTGGGCGCGGGAATATGTCAACAGGTTGATGGCTGTTATGCTCTGCCTTCTCTTGAGAGTGGCGAGGTTGTTGGCCCTCGTCAGCTCTCACCTGTGTTATCATCGTGTGTAGCCCGTCTGAAATATCTTCTGTTGTAAAGTAACTTTCCTTATAACAGGCGTACACAGCATCTAGAGTTTCTCAGGACAACTTAAGCCGCACTACGAGACTCCACAACCAATTTAAAGGTGTCAGATAAACAGGATTAAAGAAAACTTTTATACACGAATGAACTTCAATTCTAAAATTTTGCTATTTCTTTGCTTTGGGGTTCGGTAGCTGGACATGAACACATTTATAGTTAAACTGTGCTCCAGCATGATCTGTGTCACCATAACTTTGTGTGATTGTGTTATCATAATTATAGAAGGTTGTGGGTAACTCTGGAATCACCTTTGGCTCATCCCGCCAGTTGACCTTTGACATCATTAAATATTGTTATTGTCTAAGTCACTTGTGAAGCGTACCAAGGTGCTACAAGTATCAGGCTTGCTGCCACGAGTTAGTCACCCCTGAGAGTAGGTAACTGTGGTAGTTGTGACCCCTGAGAGTAGGTAACTGGTAGTCGTGGGTGTGGTTCTGGGTCAGGGGGGAGGACTGGTGCTGGGTCAGGGGGGGGGGGGACTGGTGCCCTGTGTTACAGTCTTGTGGTGACTGTAACTTCACGTTGGGGTCTTCCTGCATGTCAGTCTTTCTAATAGATAATTCTGGCATCATAATGAGCTTCACATTATAAATGGTAGTCAGAGTGTTGCTCTCTACCTCCCTCACTCACTTCCAAGTCATGTAACAGTAACTTATAAATAAATGATTGTGTCGGGGGACAGGCAGCCAGTGTATATACACATGTTAGGCTTATATCGAGATCACCCCCAAGGTGGAATTACTGACCCCGCCCAGGATGCAGCCCCCACAACAAGTTGACTAACTCCTGGGTACCTCTTTACTATTAGGTGAATAGGTCCATTTCTGTCCTGCCCGGAATTCAAATCAAGAATTCCCAATTGCGAGTTGAGAACGAATCCGACTTTACTTCCGGGACCCTCAAGGTTAATGGAATTGTGGAATATATCTTGCCTCATACCACACACTAACTTGATTGTGTTAGATCTGCAAATTATTTAAAAGCTTCAGTATAGATCACATAAACTGGCCCACCATATTGGAATGGTAAAATAGTTGTGTTTATCATGTTGTGGTATACCGCTATACCTTCCAAAAGTTCCGTTGACATGTGGCCGGTTTGCGTTGACTGCTTTTCAATGTACCATCAAGTGCTCAAGGTACTACATGTGATTCGAAAGACCATATGAGAATTTTGTTTTAGGCGACTTTGCTTGAATGGAAAGACACGTACAAGTGACTGTATCAGGTACAAGCACACTCGTACCTCCTTCAACTCGAGCTAAGTCAGCTAAAACAAAGTGTCGACAGAGTTGATCACTTTGGCCTGGTGTGTCCCCTAGAGGTGTGAGCGTGACAGATGACCCCGGGTGACCTTCCCAACAGGTCAGGACGAGAGTGGTGCTGAGCGGAGTGTATCAGTGCTGCTGGAGGGAGAAGAAGCCGAGCTTATATTCCTGCCCCTTCATGACCTGACACAGGCCAGCGCTGTGAGTATATACCTGTCACTATAGTCACACAAGTGTCTGTGGGGCATCTCTACCTTTATGCCTCGCCTCTCTTCTCCACGTTACCTAATAATTTAACTATTCTCATGTCCCAATCTGTCCTTAAACTTGTGGATGATTATTCTTCTTTTAGAGTATTCCACTTGTTGCCCGCCCACTTAGGATACAAGTATTCCACTTGTTGCCCGCCCACTTAGGATACAAGTATTCCACTTGTTGCCCGCCCACTTAGGATACAAGTATTCCACTTGTTGCCCGCCCACTTAGGATACAAGTATTCCACTTGTTGCCCGCCTACTTAGGATACAAGTATTCCACTTGTTGCCCGCCCACTTAGGATACAAGTATTCCACTTGTTGCCCGCCCACTTATGATACAAGTATTCCACTTGTTTGAGGAAGCTGGGAGTGTGTGTCACATCTCGCACAGGTACAGTGTGTCACATCTCGCACAGATACAGTGTGTGGTGTGACACAGGTACAGTGTGTGGCGTGACACAGGTACAGTGTGTGGCGTGACACAGGTACAGTGTGTGGCGTGACACAGGTACAGTGTGTGGCGTGACACAGGTACAGTGTGTGGCGTGACACAGGTACAGTGTGTGGCGTGACACAGGTACAGTGTGTGGCGTGACACAGGTACAGTGTGTGGCGTGACACAGGTACAGTGTGTGGCGTGACACAGGTACAGTGTGTGGCGTGACACAGGTACAGTGTGTGGCGTGACACAGGTACAGTGTGTGGCGTGACACAGGTACAGTGTGTGGCGTGACACAGGTACAGTGTGTGGCGTGACACAGGTGTCATGTTCAGCGATACCACCTGAGGGAGTGTGTGGTCACTATTGACACATGGCGCTGTTGACTTACTAACGTCGGCAGTGTTTGTGGAGTGGCGCAAGTGACCTGTGGTGACCTCTGATTAGGTCACCACAGGTCACCATATACCATCCTCTTGGCGATGGGGGGGGGGGACACCATACCCATCCCGTGGGCGGTGGGTAATGGTTACAAGGACACATAATGGGCTCAGGGACTGAACCCCACTGTCCGCTACGCCCACTGTACCTTCCTAGCCTTCTAAAATGAAAGTACTTACTGTAATTATTTCGTAGAAAGTACCAATATGTAGTGATGGACTACCAGGAAGTACCAATATGTAGTGATGGACCACCAGGAAGTACCAATATGTAGTGATGGACCACCAGGAAGTACCAATATGTAGTGATGGACCACCAGGAAGTACCAATATGTAGTGATGGACCACCAGGAAGCACCAATATGTAGTGATGGACCACCAGGAAGTACCAATATGTAGTGATGGACCACCAGGAAGTACCAATATGTAGTGATGGACCACCAGGAAGGTCACTATTGTATTATTGAATTTGGACAACCCAGAACAACATGTAAGACTAATCCTAACCTAACTTAACCTTAGCTCTCCTAATTACTATAAAGTGGCGATAAGAAGTTATACCAGTAGTATAGTTTATAGTTGTATTTCTAGATAGTTAAGTACTAGATGAGTTAGTAGCCTCAGGTGGGTAATAAGGTGAGGAAATTGTTCTACTTTTGTTGACCAAACCACACGCTAGAAAGTGAAGGGACGAGGACGTTTCGGTCCGTCCTGGACCATTCTCAAGTCGATTGTGAGAATGGTCGACTTGAGAATGGTCCAGGACGGATCGAAACGTCGTTGTCCCTTCACTTTCTAGTGTGTGGTCTGGTCAACATATTTCAGCCACGTTATTGTGACTCCTCGTGGTTTTACTTTTGAATAAAGTATAAGTTGTACAATTTTTTATTATATTAGTAGGGGAGTTTGGTATATTGGATCCCTTTATTGGCAGCGCGTGTTTGTAGTGATTTAATCTGACTGGGAATATCAAAGAGGCATTTATTCCTAGTGTGATGACCATTGGTACTATTACATCCGTCTAGTAGTTCAAAACAGCATTAGAATTTAGGATTAGAATTAAGGGTTGGCAAGTGTAAAGAGGACACGAGTGTGTGTAGCATGTTCAGGGACTGAGAGCCTCAGTGTAGTCTGAAAACATTGTTTTTCCATTATTTTGATATTTGATTTTTGCTGGGTGATATTGGCCTTAAGGTAGTTTGTAGTGTTGAACTCGTGCACAGATGCCATTTGCTAGATGAGGATAGATTAGTGAGTAGTATAGTGTGGGAGGAGCACAGTGGGGGAGATGATATACGATTTTTGAGAGTATACGAGCAGTGTTAGACATGCTCGTCTCTTGTCAGTGTATAAGCCAAGGAACTTCCCCTCACATTTACTACCAATACTTACATGGTGTATCTGAAGGTGTATTTGGTTAGAAGATTTATTTCAAATGAAATGTAGCAAGTCGTTTCTACCTTTAGTTGGTTGACATGCAGGTGGAAGTTTGGTAGCTGGTCTTTGACAACATTACTAATGGTGTGTGGGTTGAGGGGTTTGGAAAGATCTACAATAACAAGTTTTTCTCAGACCAGTAAAGAGGGCAATTGGGAACTCCATGTTTGTGAAGGTCTGTGTAGATTATGTCAAGCAAACTAATAATGTCATTACTGAGTATAATGATTTGGTTCAGTGAGCCACACTGACCGTTGTGTGTGTGTGTGGCAGCGGCAGGAGCACGCTGACGGGTGGCTGGTGGTGTACAGTGTGAGCGACAGAGACACCTTCAGACAGGCAGCCACCGCCCTGGGCCAGGTCTGGGCCTTGGGCCACCTCGCTCACACCCCCGTCATTCTCGTCGCTAACAAGACCGATCTGGAACGGACCCGGGTGGTCACTTCAACAGGTAATGAACAACATGTCCTGATTGTGACAGGTAATGTAAACTACCAGTTGAGGCCAGGGACAAGTTAACTACCAGTTGAGGCCAGGGACAAGTTAACTACCAGTTGAGGCCAGGGACAAGTTAACGTGTCCCTGGCCTCAACTGGTAGTTAACTACCAGTTGAGGCCAGGGACACGTATAGTGTCAGTTGAGGTACTCTCTCTCTGTACTGTTGTCGTGCTTGCAAGGTTCTCTATCAGTTAGTGTTACCAATATTTCTCCTCGTGTCGTTCCGTCCTTGCCCTCGTGTAGGGTCCGCCTTCCTAGTTATTGTAAACCCCTGACCTGTGTGACTAAAGTTTTTACCCCTCCTACAATCCTGAAGCACCTTTTCCTTGCATACTTTTCTCAACACTCCTGCTCCATTTCCGTCTTCACAGATGGGGTCTAAGTCTGCAGACGGTGTAGGCTACTCTGTTGTTTTTCCTGACCACACCCACATGTGTCGCCTGCCTCCAGAGACTAGCATCTTCACGGCAGAACTGTATGCTATTGTATGTGCTCTTCGTCAACTACTTCATCGCTGTCAATCTTCCTTTGTTGTTTTTGTTGATTCTCGCAGTGTCCTCATGGCTCTGGAGTCCTTTAATCCAGTCCATCATTTGGTCGTCGAAATTCAATATTGGCTGTGCCTTATGTCCAGAAGATTTAAGATAGTCGAGTTTTGCTGGGTTTCCAGCCATATTGGCGTGTCCTTAAATGAGCGTGCGGACGCTGCCGCTAAGGACGCTATCCGCACTTGTCCCATCTCCCGTAAAGGTATTCCTTATTCCGACTTCTATCCAGTTATTCACTCCTCAATCCTTGCCTGTTGACAGGGTCGTTGGTCTTCTGTTACTGGTAACAAACTGTGTGCTCTTAAGAGTAGTGTGTCTCCGTAGTCTTCCTCCTACCACCGTAACTGGCGGTAGGAAACGGCTCTGGCGAGGTTACGTATTGGCCATACACGTTTAACTCGCGGGCACTTAATGGAGCGCCACCCTGCGCCTTATTATCCAAACTGCGTCGTCCCTCTTACGGTTGTGCATATCCTTGTCGATTGTCCGGACTTTCAGGACGAGCGTGTATCTTGCTTACCTGGTTGATACCTGGTTGATGGGGTTCTGGGAGTTCTTCTACTCCCAAAGACCGGCCCGAGGCCAGACTTGACTTGTGAGTTTGGTCCACCAGGCTGTTGCTTGGAGCGGCCCGCAGACCCACACACCCACCACAGCCCGGTTGGTCCCTTCCCGACCGTCCCGCGCGGTCATTTGTCCCTCGATAGAATTCTTGGTGAATCGGATACTTTTGATACCGTTCGCCTTATGCGTTTCTGTTCTCATATTGGCATCCTTGTGTTACGGCCCTCTTGGGTCGCAACTGGGTTCTTTCTCTGATGTTAATAGAGATTGGGTATCCGGCCCCAAGCTAGTAGTGGCTTTCAAGAGGTGTGCTCCGTAACGCAAGTAAATTAAAGGGGAAGGGATAAAACTGCTCAGAAATAAATATATATTCACCACCACCAATAAATAAATATATAAACAGTCACTCGCTGGGGCTATCACTACACTTATGTACACGTCTTGTCTTCTTCTGAAGACACAGGATGTTCTGCTTAACGGTGCTCAAGACGAGTAGCCCTGGTTCTCTTCTTGTGGCCTCTCGACGAATCCTTAGATTCTCTTAGCGAGTCTATCCCGACCACAGGCCAGCCAAAACACAATCCCACTGGGTGCACCGTCGTGGAGGCCGTCAACCACAAATCCAGCCTGTAGCTGGCAGGTTCCAATCAGCTACGCTGCGTAGGCCACTCCACGACCGATACAAGGGTTGCGAGCCCTAGGCAGGAGCCTCGTGTGATTCCACAGATCACTCTCCTCACCATAACACCCCAGTGGCTATTCTTTTCCACGAGTCAGCCCCGGGTACGACAAATCCTCAACTGCCACGTCACAGGCAGGCTAACACAACAGTGTTCATCCGGGGGGTGACTCACAACTTCTGCAGCTAACACTTGGAGATTCTACGGCTGCCTTGGGTAGACTGATCCAACGTCCATTACAGCAGTCCCAGGTCGACTCTGTAATCAGACACGTCATCAGTACTAGTTACACTCTAGGGCACCTCACTTACAGGCTTAGACACAAACGCCCACCTATCCACTCCATAGATGGCGTTGCTGTCTAAGCGCCACCTCACCAGAGGTCAGCAGCGGCTGCGTCACGAGCTGATTAGGACGGGAAACTAGCCCTTGTGGCCAGTATATCTCGTCCTCACTAGATGGCGTCGTCCATTTGGAGGGGGTTTCGGGAGCTGACCCACAGATGGCGCGGTCGTCACTGCTCCGTGCTCGGACGCTGGGCTCGAGTCCGTAACAGACATTGTAATTGCCTGAATTATACTTGGATATCGTTACTTATGTCAGTTAATAACTCTCCCAACAATGACCACTCTAAATGTAAACTAGGTGAACAAGAGCCGGGACACGCTTTTCAACACTATATATTGGTGAATGTCCTCTTATCAATAACCAACCTCTTATAGACCAACTAGCATGAGATGCTTTGAGCTTTGTAAGTATTTCATTCACGCTTGAATAAAGTGTTGAAAGATACTATCACGCTATAACCAGTGTGTGTTAGTGCAGGCAAGTACCTTGACTCGCATCTCATGATTTTCCATAATTCCATGTGTGTGACTAATCATCCTGTGAGTTGGGAATATTGGATGAACTTATTACAATGGGCTCAAGAATACTATCTAATATAGATTGAGAGGCATTAATTAGTAGGTTTATGCAGTGACTGTAGAACAAGGGACATCAATTGAATGAGCAATACAAACCTTTAAATTTGCATCCTGATCATATGAATAAAGTTTTTCATGTGATTGAGAACAGATCCGGCTGAAGCAGCGCGTGGAGGCTGGGTGGGAGGCGGCGAGCAGGGCGGGCAGCCACGACTCCTCCCCGACCTCTTCCTCCTCTATACTCCGGCACAAGAACAGCTTCCGGGTCAAAGGCATTCTTAATAAGCTCCTCAATAAAGATAGGAAAACAAAATCCTGTGAGAATTTGTATGTATTATGAGTCCCAGCTGGGAAAAGAGCTCTTATTTGGAAGATCTTTGAACTAAATGTCATATGAAATGTTTAAATTGAATCATTGATGACTAAATGTATAGCATAAATACATAGCTAATTAATCTATCATTGAAACCAAAAATACTTGCCTTCACAATTTTATATTGTTTTCATTCTTCTGGTATACATACCATGTTCTACACACCACAGCGTGCCTGTAACTTGCCTCTTAAGTTTATCACTTCTCTGTTTCCAGAGTTCTCTCCAAACCCAAACTGGGGTCAGGGATTTATATGTATGTTTCAGGTGATAAATTGATCGGTAAAGCAGTTCCTGGTAGCGGCCTGCAGGCCTTACATATGCTGATCATGTCCATGGCCTCTTTAAAATTTCCACTTTGGTTACGGCAGTATTTCACATAATTGGTAGGTTCAGTCTTGACCACCTCCTATGAAGTTCACGCTGCGTAGTCGTGCCTACAGCATCTCTATCTATTCTTCACTCTGCCCATTCTGCATTTCCTAGCACATCTTTCACTCCATTTTATTGTACATATTTAGGATCTGATCAGGTATTTTACATTTGCATATGTAACATCTTTCTTATTTCCAGAGAGTGCGTTCTGAGTGCTTGTAGACGGTCACAATCAATTATCATGTCCATGCATGTCGTATATATTCTCTGCATTTCCTGTTTCAAAAATCTCTTCTTCTTTGAAAGCAAAAGAGTAGCATATGTGGCGGGAAAGTATAATATAATTGAAAAAGAGGAACATTGTGGAGGAATATCTGATTTAAAGGCCTCATTATCCACCCAATCATTTTCCTGGCTGCTGCTGCGTTTACTTGGCAACCCTTAATAAACGCTAGGTCGGTTGACATCATTATTCCCAGGTTGTTTTCCCTTGTCAGTACGAGGAGACATGATTGCATCACATTTAACATCTTCACTTTTCTCCAACTTAACCCTGTTACTGAAATTTATCGTTTTTGAAAATCATATTTTTTTGCTCTCCAGTGGAAGACTTTATTCATATGAATATGTAGTTTTTCAGTGTTTAGTACCAAGATATTTATGTAGATGTGTGATATGAGGGAGAAAGGTGAGGCAATACATCACAAACATGTGGTTCCTGTAATAACATAGATAATATTGGTAATGTTGTGTTCCAGTCAAGAGACGGGAACTCTTCAGCAAGATAGTGTCTTTATAAGAGGATACACAACTGAAAATTTCCTGTGTACTGCCTATGTGTATGTACACTTAGATGGATGGACGAATAGATGGATATGCATACATGTGTATATTATATGCATGTATTTGTGTTTATGTATATATGAATGTTTGTCTGTTTTTTGTGTGTGTTGTAAGTACAGATTCATACAGTGTAAGAGCAGGAGTCACTTTGTAAGGCCAGGCCTGAACCCAGGATAAAGGCATTTTCTCTCTGGACTACCACGCTTTGGTGCTGCAACAGAAAGCTGGTCTTCCTTGGGTCTCGGTTATTATTAAGGAAAGTTTTGGTGCTTGTGGCCAGGGGACCAAAGGACTCTAATCCTACTGGGAAAACTTACCGATTGTCCACTTACCTGCTTCCCTTTGGTTGTATTGCCTGCTGAATGACACGCACAACAGAGAATGTAGGTGTTAGCCCATGTAGATGAATGTGCAGTCCTACACGAGTTGTCTGTCCATTCCTTCAGAAGTATAATGCAATCCCATCTGGTTGTCAAGGATTACCAGGAAAACATTACAGTCTATGGTAGAGACAAGCCAATTGTAGACATTTAGATTGCTAAAGGAACGTTCCCAGAGGCAATGACACCAGCGAGGTTGGGTAGTCTCCTGTCTACATGTTGCAGCTTGGAGCATAGCTTCAGTTCTCAACACAATGTGACTGTCTAAGCTGGATGGTTTGTAGATTGTCGTCAGGACTGCCTTACATGTCGGAGCTGTGACAATAGTCTAACTGGTGATCCAAGTAAAGACAAGGTCATGCACAAAGTCCTTTATGTCCTTTTCTTTCTTTGACAACTATACAGCTGCAGCTGACAAAGCCAACCTTTTAAGCCGCTTCTTTTCCTTCTAACTAAAATGTTTCCAACCTTCCTGAACGAGTGGAAGTAACGTTTCGGTCCAGACCAAGACACGGTCCCTGGCAGAAGGCAGCCATCTCATATTTGCTCAGCAAAGACATTGTGAAATAGATACACACCAAACGCGTATCGACCACGACCAAAGACAATAAACCTAGACAACAAAGGAGAGCGGGAAGCTTAATGACACAAAACCTGAATTTACCTGAAGGAACACTGCCTCTAAGAATACCTTAATGGCTTGGCACTTTCACCTGATAATTCCTTCTCTCTGAATGTTCCAAGATCACATGGAAAGGGCAGTTAGTAAAGCCTTAATGTTCAAGAAGTTGGGGGCCACACCTTCATTAGGAGGGCAAGGAAGAGAACTACGATATGACACTTGTAGAACACAGCTGGGAACAAAAGGCCCTATACCGGCGAAAGTGGAGCGAACAAAACCACTCGGCATATGAGGTTCTCCAACTTCAGATAATCAACAGACGATTATGGACCTATTGGTTGCAGCCGAGATGCATCGTCCAATGTATAATATCCTCTTTGTGAATGGAGCTACAGTGACACATTGTTATTCCACACCACAAACCAGCCTGTGAAGAGCCAAACTTGTTGCATTTCCACCAAAAGATGGCTCCACCCATGTCCCCCAGTCTGTTAAGACCAAACATAACTAAGGTATACCGAAAATACATTAGATACACAAAGAATGTGAACAACTTCAAGGACTAAAACCTGAGAAACCATTTACAAGATGTAAAGGACCGTCTGTCTTTCTCCCTTGTTCTGAGACAAAATAGATACAGACCTATTATTTAAATCTGCGGGAGAGGAATTTGTCTGATGACAAACTACACAGCTACCATATCCCAAACACTGAATGATGTACTAACCCCAAAGACCAAAGGTGGTGGAGGCCAAAACCGTCAGTAGCTTCAAAGCGTTATATGACAGAGTGCAGGGTAGACGGGACACCACGAGCGTAGCTCTCATCCTGTAACTACACTTAGGTAATTAGGTAATTACCAATATGGCTGGGAACCGAGCAAAACTCTACTTTCTTAAATTTACAGGAGATAAGAAACGGCCAATGCTGAATTTCAACTAACACCGGATGGACT